TCTCTCTCTCTGTCTCATTGTGTCATATGGATTACTGTTAATTTATTATGCTGATCTGTTCTGTACGACATCTATTGCACGTCTGTCCGTCCTGGAAGAGGGATCCCTCCTCAGTTGCTCTTCCTGAGGTTTCTACCGTTTTTTTCCCCGTTAAAGGGTTTTTTGGGGAGTTTTTCCTGATCAGCTGTGAGGGTCATAAGGACAGAGGGATGTCGTATGCTGTAAAGCCCTGTGAGGCAAATTGTGATTTGTGATATTGGGCTTTATAAATAAAATTGATTGATTGATTGAATTGAGTATTTATTCAACAGCATTTTAAATATTGATTATCTGATTTGAATCGTATACCTGATGTCTGAATAAACTTTTCCTCTTCACATCTGACCTGTTTGATCCATTTATATTGGTGAGGACAGACTAAATGAGAAACTGCTGTCAGTGTAATCCAGTACAGTTCAACAGCACCACAATCTACAACTCAACACTTCAATAAAATGTCAGACTGAATATTAAACTGCTGTTGTTTTTTCTAGGTGCACCAAGTAAACTGTCACATCTCCATAAAAATGTAGACAGAAAGCATAATGATGAGACAAATGCAGTGATGGACAGTAACTAAGTATATTTACTCAAGTAGCCACTGTACTTAAGTACAAATTTGATGTACTTTGGGTATTTCCATTTACTGAGAGGGAAATACTGTACATTGTACTCAAGCTACATTTATTTGATAGCTATAGTTACTTTCAGATAGTTTGTTTTATATGTTGTTGTTTCATAATTACAAGTTGCTGTGTGTTGTTATAGATCAGACTAGTGCACCAGTGACAGCTGTTAAAATTAGTTCTACCATGACAACATTTAAATGCTGCTCACATGAAGCCTACGTTGATCAATTAATACTCAATACATATTCATGTATATGATGATCACAACACTTGAAATTGGGTCACTCTGCATCATGAGTACTTTTAACTTTAATTTTAAGTAGTCCTACATTTTGCTGACAATACCCAGATATTTTTACTCAAATCAGATTTGGTATGCAGCACTTTGACTTGTGACTGAGTTTTTGTTCTTTGTTGTGATATTCCTGGGTACTTTGTCCACAACTGGACAAACATATCGAACAGACATGCAAGCATCGCATGTCTCATCCTCATCCTCATCCTCCGCTGTCTTTCTGGGATCTGCCTCCTCAGTTGGGCAGCCTCCTCCTCAGCCTGCAGGTACAGCAGTCCTGCTGCAATAACTGTGCCAAGACGCCTTCTCCGATCCATGTCCGCTACTGATTTTTGATTTCCATCTCGCCAATGCTCACGATCACAATAACCACCAACTCTCCACAAACTTTTCCCCCCGCACTTTTGATTATAATCAGAAGCCAGCTGCGGGGAAAAGGTTTTAAAAGAAAAAGGTTTTATGAAAATATTTTGGCTATTTATATGTTTTTGTGTGTCAGTTAGCCTATATATGTTGAAACGTTAAAAACATATAGGCCTATATATTAATTTCTTATAATGTCTATGCAAAGACGCAGGGCTGGGCTGTGTTTACATTGTTTTATTCTAAATGCATACAACACAGTACAACAGCCAAGGCGTGGACTTGCCAAGTCCACAAGTCCAAACTGCCGAAATTGAGTATTGAGAAATGGCTAAAGTCTGCTTCAACACGCAGACATCACTTCCTGTTGGTCTGAATGAGCTGAGCTGATTGGCTAGAGAGGTTTAGACCGACCTGTAAGGTGTCAGGATGTTGAGGGGCGGGGTTTAGACCAACCTGTAAGGAGTCAGGACGTTGAGACCGACCTGTAAGGAGTCAGGATGTTGAGGGGCGGGGTTTAGACCGACCTGTAAGGAGTCAGGATGTTGAGGGGCGGGGTTTAGACCGACCTGTAAGGAGTCAGGACATTGAGGGGCGGGGTTTAGACCAACCTGTAAGGAGTCAGGATGTTGAGGGGTGGTGGTTTGTCGCAGCGTTGGTACATTTCCAGAACAGGGTTGAGGATGGAGCTCCGTGACACCACCTGCTGGTCCTGGATGGTGCTGCTCCTGAAAGCCTTCCTCATGTTGATGTCCTGCAGAGACACTATGACATAAACAGGTGTGTTAGGACACTGCAGGTGAAGAGGGAATCAGCCTAGGGTCACTGTCTGACTGATGATGACAATGATGATGGTGATGGTGATGAAGATGATGACTAACCTTCCTCCACGGTGGAGTCCAGCTGTGTGACCTTGACAGCCAGCAGGTCCACACGCTCCTGCAGGCTGCTCATCCTCAGGTAGAAGCTGTTGGCCTCTGTGAACAGCTCACTGAAGATGTCCTCCGCATGACGACCTGCACACAGTCAACAACACACCAAGCCCGTGTTACACTGCAGTGATGTCACACAGATGCCAGACAGACTGTAACCTGCTGCAGTTCACCTGTGACTCACCTGAGAGTCTGACCTCACCTCACTTGTTAGTGGACGTCCAATCAGAAGACAGAGACCATCAGAGAGTCAGAACGTCTTACAGTGAGGTCATCTCTTAGGTCTCCACAGAAAACAATGAACACATTGACTGATCAATTGATTGATTGACTGACTGACTGACTGACTGACTGACTGGGACCATTGGTCTGAAATCAGAAAACCATCAAACCACCTTCATGGTATTGGGATTGAAATAAAATCAATAATCCAGTAGAAGTGATGATGATGATGGTACAGTCTAGTACGGTCTGGTGCAGTCTGGTGTGGTCTGGTACGGTGTGGTACGGTCTGGTCTAGTATGGTATGGTACGGTCTAGTAAGTTGTGGTACAGTCTTGTACAGTCTGCTGCAGTCTGGTACAGTCCGGTATGGTCTGGTGCGGTCTGGTACGGTCTGGTGCAGTCCGGTACGGTCTGGTGCAGTCTGGTGCGGTCTGGTACAGTCTGGTACAGTCTGGTATGGTCTGGTGCGATCTGGTACGGTTTGGTACGGTGTGGTACAGTGTGGTGCTGTGTGGTACAGTCTGGTCTGGTATGGTCTGGTACAGTCCGGTACAGTCTAGTACGATCTGGTATGGTCTGGTGCGGTGTGGTATGGTCTACTACGGTCTGGTCTGGTACAGTCTGGTATGGTGTGGTACGGTCTGGTGTGGTCTAGTACAGTCTGGTCAATCAATCAATCAATTTTATTTATAAAGCCCAACATCACAAATCACAATTTGCCTCACAGGGCTTTACAGCATACGACATCCCTCTGTCCTTATGACCCTCACAGCTGATCAGGAAAAACTCCCTAAAAAATCCTTTAACTGGGAAAAAACGGTAGAAACCTCAGGAAGAGCAACTGAGGAGGGATCCCTCTTCCAGGACGGACAGACGTGCAATAGATGTCGTACAGAACAGATCAGCATAATAAATTAACAGTAATCCGTATG